ATTAATTAACACAGATTAGTTTCAGAGGTAGAGTTCTACATTTTTTTAAATGATTATGAATATTTTAGACACTCAAAAAAAGGAATAGACAGAATACGATCAACACCCACGTACATCCTTCAGGACTGAAGAAACAAATCTTAGAAATAGAAACAGAGCCCCCAGTTACCGCACCCCAGCCCTGTTCCCACCTCGAACCCACATCCCCGGATGTTGCGTGGACTGTTCAGCACCCTGCTGGTGCCTCCCGGACTATGTGGTCCAGGCTCAGGCTCCGTGGCCACCAGCCCCTGCTGCCCGGCCTTGCCAGCTCCTGGTGTCACCTGGCTTTTTGACTTTTTGCCCATCTGATTGGGTGGGAAACGGGATCTCCTTGTGGCTTGGATTTGCATTTCCCTGCTGACTGGGAGGCCCAGCGGCTGTCCGGTGGGGCCCTCTCCTCGAAAGCTGCCTGTTCTTACCGGTCTCGTTCTTACGTGTCTGTGGTTCTTACCTGTCTATCCGGGGTGCCCTCAAATCTTCCTTCTTCATGTCACATACTGGGGGGTCCTCCCAGCCTGTGCTTCTCCCAAGGACCCCATCACTCGGCCTCCTGTCCCCCCCCAAGTGTCTCTCGGGGGACTCACACCTGGCATGTCCCAAACCGGGCTCCCCGCTCCAGCCCCCACCTTCTCCGAGGTCCCTCTCCGTGGGGAGAGATGCCCCCTCCTTCTGGGACCCTGGGTGCTCCCTCCATACCCACACCGTTGGCCACCAAATGCCGCTCAGCACGTCTCCGCTCTCTGTCCCCTGCAGCCCCCCGCTCTGGTGGTTCAGGCCGCATTGTCGCGTCCCTTGTCTGTCACAGCGGCCCCCCGGGACTGTGGCCTCCCTGCCCTCATTCGCCCCAGCGCCCTCATCAGCTGGGTGATTTTGCCAATAGGCATTCCCTTGCTTGACACCCTCTGTAGCCCCACATCCACTCAGGCTGATGGCCTGTGTGTGGGACTGGGAGACCCCCCCCACGCCCACCCTGCTGTTCCTCCCCATCTCTGGATGAACCCCCCCCGACACACACACATTTTAGCCACTAAATCCTCAACTCTTTGGTTGACCTGGCAGAATCTGGCCGCTGCCTGGAAGTTCCCCTGCCTGGCCCCCAGCGCCCCATGCTCCCTATTACGGAGCACTGCCCCCCCCCCCCCCACGGTGCCGCCGTGGCCTGAGCCTTAGGGCTGGTGGTGAGGGCTCAGGGACCACACGGAGTTCATCTCTGGGCTCTACTGTCCGGCACTCGGACCACAGGGCTGGGAGAGGAGGGGGGAGCATGGGCACCCTGGCTGCTGACCCTGGAGGCAGGGGTAGGAAGAATAACCCAGGGGGGGCTGATGTTGGGGGTGGCAAGCCTGGGTTTGAAGGCTGGGCTTCAGCCAGCAACAGTGTCTTGCCAAAGTGACTCCTGGCGCCCGCCTCCCGCACCCCCTGGGCTATGCCAGCACCCTGGACATGGGCTTTCCACTGTCCTATTTGGCACCTTCCCCCAATTCCGTCAGGGCCACACCCTGGGCCTCCGATTGGCAGAGACTTCTTGGGCCTCATTCCCCGCTGAGCCTGCGGCCCGCCACCCCCGGGCAGCTGAAATGGAAACCCTGAAATGCAGCCCGGGTTTGTCTTTGGGGTAAATGGCAATTGAGGGCAGCACAAAGGGGGCCTGTTGGTCTGAATGCTGCCTGCCCTCCCCCGCCCCTCCCCTGCCCGCCTCGCCTCGCCTGGGCGCCGAGTCCCTGGGGGAGGCAGCGTGTGCACCCTGGGCCTTTTGAGATCATAATGGAGACCCATCGGCGTGGCAGTTGCCCTTCCCCGGGGGCTTCCGTGGGCCAGGCACGGAGGGCCGCCCGTGGGGTATGTGTCCTGACTCGCCCATCCACACGCCCCATGGGACAGCCATACTTTCACCCCCTCTTACCGGTGGTGTAACAGGCACCCACCGGGCCACGGACCCACAGACACTCGTGGTGGCTTGGGGTCTGGACCCACATTGCCTGCAGTCTGCTCCCTCCCTGTCTCCCAGGCCTGCCCCGCCCCCCAGAGCGTGGCCAATGGCCAATTTATCACCACGTCCCGGCTTTTCCCAAGAAAGCCCTTCCTTCCTCTATCCCGCGAGCAGGGCTGAGTCACAAAGGGGTGATTGGCCCCAGGTCTCCTCCCCCTCTTCCTGTTCACCATTTCTTCTCTCCTCTCCTCTCCCCTTCGCTCGGCTCCCCCAGCTCCGGAGACCCTGGGGGTGGGGGCGGCCACTGGCCTCTCCTGCCCGGCCCTCCCTGCGCCCCGGGCCCCGGCAGTGGTGGTGGGCCGAGGGAATGAGTGAGTGCAGCCGGCTCCTCTGGTCTCCTTTGTCAGCGAGGCATGCGGGCGCTCTCCCCAGAGGCCAGGGGTCTCACAAATGTTAGTCCAGGCCCAGGCTGCCCAGCCCGGGGCTGGGTCCAGCACAGTCTCTGAGCAGCGTGTGACGTTGGGTGAGTTCTGAACTTCTCTGAACTTCCCAAGCTCTTCCTGTGAGTCGGCTTCTGGCTCATCGGGGCTTGGGAAGACGAGCGGGGCTCCATTCCTGCAAGGCCTGGCATACCCGTTCCTTCATACTAGAGGCTGCTGGGATCTCCAGGGTCCGGGAGGGAGGGGGGCAACGCTGGGAGCCTCCGGAAGCCTCCCCTGGGAGGAGCGTCCTGGAGATTTGTGGCTTCGGAGGCCTTTGTCCTCCGGGCAGTGGCAGGTGTGCCCTCGCATGGGATTTCCGGATCACGGGCTCTGGGCCAGGCGCTGTGCTGGGGCCGGGTTCTCAGAGAAGCTGGGGCCCTGCCTGGGGCTGCCCGCGGGCTCCCGGGAGGCAAGATGAAGATAAAGGAGAACAGTATCATCTCTCCTCGGCTCAGCGTGCCATCCTGAGGTCTCCGTGGGCCAGAGGTTCGGGGAGACTTCGCGGAGGAGGAAGCGTTGGGCTAGGTATTGCATAGGTGGTTGGAACAATGAAGCAGGTGGGAGAAAAGGCACAGGTGGGGTCTGGGAGGTGGGGAGTTGTCAGGTGAGTAGGGAGGGAACGCAGGGTCATCCGTGGCAGTGCTGGTTTGGGACTCCGATGCCAGGGATGCCGTTATAATGCCTGGTCCCTGCCTCATAGGACATGCTGGCTAGCGGGAAGGTCAGACTGCCTACATGAAAAGCCATGGCTTTTTACTTGAGGCCGAGGGAATAGCATGTGCAAAGGCCCTGAGGCTGGAGAGTGCTTACTGTGATCCAGGTGTGGCCGGAGGCCGGCTTGGCTGGAGTGAAGTGGGCAAGGGAGGGCCATAGTGCTGGAGGTAAGAGATGAGGAGGGCTTTGAAGGCCGCCGCACTAACTTCTCTGGAGAGCCGTCAAGGATTTTATTTTTTATATGATTTTTAGAAGTTAAGATTTAGCTTACAGACCATAAAATTCACCCCCCCTTTTTTTTTTTTAAGATTTTATTTATTTGACAGAGAGGGAACACAAGCAGGGGGAGTGGGAGAGGGAGAAGCAGGCTTCCCGCGGAGCAGGGAGCCCGATGCGGGGCTCGATCCCAGGACCCTGGGATCATGACCCGAGCTGAAGGCAGGCGCTTAACGACTGAGCCACCCAGGTGTCCCAAAATTCACCCATTTTAAATATGGCTTGGTGACTACTTTGATATTTAGTATAAATACAAGTTGTATGGCTATCACAATCCATTACACTTCTGCCTTCTGGAAAGTTCTCTCATGCCTGTTTGTGGTCAGTCCCAGCTTCCACCCCCAGGCAACCCCTGATTTGCTTTCTGTGTCTATAGTTTTGAGATCCCCTATAAATAAGAATCATGCAGTATGTAGTCTTGTGTGTTTGGTGTCTTGTGGTTAGTGTAACATTGTTGAGGGTGGCCAATATCGTTACACATGTCATACTCACTTATTATTGCCAAGGAGCGTTCTGTTGTGTAGATACCCTGCCTATCACTCACCAGGTGATGGGTATTTGGTTGTTTTCCATTGTTTGGCTATTATGAATAAAGTTGCTATGAACATTTTTTTACAGGTTTTTGTATGAATATGTGTTTTTATTTTTCTTGGGCGATTGGGTCATATGGTAGATACAGATTTAACTTATTTTTTTTAAGATTTTATTTATTTGAGAGAGAGATTGAGAGAACAAATGGGAGGAGGGGCAGAGAGAGAAGCAGACTCCCCACTGAGCAGGGACCCCCCCCCCCCATGCAGGACTCGATGCCAGGACCCTGAGATCGTGACCTGAGCCGAAGGCAGACGCTTACCTGACTGAGCCACCCAGGCGCCTGGTGATTAGAGTTCTTTAAGTGTTCTGAATAGAAGTCTTTTAATGTATGATTTGTAATATTTTTCTCTGGGGGCGGGTGTTTCAGGCAGAGAGGGGGCCCAAAAGTCATGGGGAGGGGGCACCTTGCATCTTGTTCCAGTCCCAGCAAGAAGCCTTCCTCTGCCTCACACGTGGGGCCCTGCATTAGGATTTCCTAGGTCAGAGGGCCCCTGGATCACTGGGTCACTGGGCCGCTGGAGCAGGAAGCTAGTTAGGCACCCACAGGGAGGGATATTCGCTGTCACCAGAGAGCTTGCCCCTGCTGGCTCAGTCAGTCATTCGGGCTTGGGGGGACGCCAGCAAGTCCTAACCTAACCAGAGAGCAATGTCTGCAACCCACAGTCACTTCCCTGGGGAATGAGCTTGCTGGAGGGCCAGGTTCTGGGGAACGAGGGAGCAGCTGATCGAGCGACTCCCGGGCCCCAGAATTCCTGGGGTGTCAGAGTTGTCCATCGGAGGACTGGAATGTTGGGTTTGGAAGGCTCTAGGACCAGGCCAAGGGTGACAGCCATGGACCATATTCCTGTTGGCTAACTTGGGCCTGTAGGTGTCACTCATGTGCCCCGGGGGATTATCTGTCTCTGCTCTTAGGGCTGGCAGCCCTGCATGAAGTTCATCCCATGGCTGTGCTAAGACAGGTCATCGTGTCGCTGGCTCAACTTGCTGACCTGACAGCCATTTGGAGGGCACTTTGCAGACTCCTGCCGTGAGCCTTGTGGATTGGCTTCTTTATCAGTCAGAACTCTTTTGGTTGCAAGGGGCAGTGCCCCTCAAATAGGTTTAGGCAAAAAGAGAAAACGATGCATGGGTGTGAGGATTTGTTGACTGGTGTAAGTAAGGCGCTCAAGGGACCAGCTTCAGGCTCAGCTGGATCCAGGCCCTCCATCCAAATCCAGCAGCTCAGCTCTGCTTTCTCCACATTGGCCTCATTCCCTGGCAGGCTCCTCCATGCGATAACTGGGATGGCCCTGTAGTCGCTGGCATCCAACCCACACCCAGGCAGCCCCAGAGAAAGAAAATAACCCTTCCTAAAGGTAGCAGCCAGAGTCCAGGCCCTGGTGCTCCTTGCGTCATATGATTTTCCCTTCCCTAACCACGGGGGCTCTGGCCAGGCCTGGGTCACGTGCCGACTCCCCTCGTGTGTGGCGGGGACAGCCCATATAAGTCTTACGGATCAAGAATGGAGGAAAGGGTTCTCTGAAAGAGAATAGCGTTCTGTGACCACGGATGGGTAAGGATAGGGCTGGACTGGCAGAGGCGGCCTCAGAGCCGAGCACCCGGAGAGCACGGATTTCCCCTGTTGCCGAGGACCCCGGGGGTGATGCTTTTGCCCAGAATCCTCTGCTCATCCAGTGGGGCTCTGTGTTCCCTTTCCCCACTGGACAATGTGCTCGCCAGACAGAGGCCTGCAGCTCTGGGGCAGGACCGGGTCTGGCCCCTGGCGAGCCCTCCGTGAACGTCTGGTGCAAGAGAGGGTGTGTGCACAGGGCAGTGGAGGAGAGGGCCCGGGGACGGCGGGCCTGTCTTGTCTGCCCCAGGCTGCCCATGCGTGTCAGAATCCGTAGCAGCCTGTGTTCGGGGGGAGTCCCACTCAGCCAAACCTGCGGGGTCCCCGTGGAGGGCTGCTGGGGCTACAACAGCTCCTCCTGCCGACCCCCAAACCTCCCTGCTCCTGATTCTCGCCTGCCAGGCCCAGGAGGCGGGCAGAGACCGCACGGCCGACCGCGGAGTCCAGCAGACCAGGACACGGGCCAGGCCACACCATTGCCACACTGGGCCCACGCTTGCTGCCACTGCTCTGTGCCTCGGTTTCCCTCTCTAGGGAAGAGGGGGATGGGGGCCCCCGCCCCACTGGGTAGGGGGGTGCAGGAATCCTGCTGTGTCACCACTGGGGGGGCCCTGGCCCGTGGTGACATGATGAGGTGATCGCTCTCGTCTGCCCGCAGGTGAGGGGCGATGGCAGACAGGACGTGACCCGCACGGACCCTTCTCCACACACCGAGTGGCACCACCATGCAGAAGCCCAGCGGCCTGAAGCCCCCCGGCCGTGGGGGGAAGCACTCGAGCCCCGTGGGCCGGACGTCCACTGGGTCGGCCTCTGTGTCTGCGGCGGCGGCGGCGGCCACCGGCTCCAAGGAAGGTGCGCGGGGCCGAAGGTGGTGGGTGAAGGGCCGGGTGTGGGGAGCGGTTCTTCCAGAAGAGCCCCTCAGAGACCAGCCTGGGGGCTAGCAGCACACGGAAGTTCTTCCTTCTGTCTGGCTGTAATCCCTTTCCTGATTAACTAGCGCCGAGCACTGATGCACGCTTTATGGGTGCCGTTCTTTTTCACGCTCCCCCTGCTTGGGACGCAGGTCGTACTGCGGGCTCCGCTTAGGGGTGAGAAAGTGGGGATCCGGGTGGGCATGGCACTGGGCCCAAGGTCACTCAGCCAGGATTCAAACTCCAGCCTCCACCGGCCTCCCCGCCCCCTTTGTGTTCCCTTCCAGGGTCTGGGATTGTCCTAGCGAGCCAGCTCCATCTTCCCGCCAGCCTTCTTGTCTGCCACCCAGAACCATGTCCTTTAGCCTTTCCGCCCCTGACCCGTCGTCCTCCTGCTGGTGGGCGGAGGTGAGGGCTGGGTTCCCCGGGCTGGGGGTGGGGGACAGCTGTTAGCTACGTGCTCTTCTGAGGATGAGAGTAAGGGAGCCCACAGTGGAATATTCAGGAAGTTTGCTGCAGAGGTAACATTGCCTGTCATCTTCACCCTTAGAGGCAACCGTTATTTTGGTTTCTATCCTTCTACTTTTTTTTTCCTACCTGCTTGCAATCATGCTGCATATACAACTTGAAAATCTGTTTTTTTCCCTTCTAATATGATCAAGTGGATTTTTCCTCGTCATTTTTAATGGCTGTAAGGTATCCTGTCCATCCAACAACTATAAACGAAAGGCCTGCTTTGTTGACACAGTCTTAACCACCAGAGCACTCGTTCTGAGCAAAACCGGAAGTGGGCCTAGCCCTCCCTCGGGGCTGCTGGTCTGGTGGGGGACATGGAGTGTCATGAGATCCTAGAACTGGGGCCTGACCAGGTCTGGGAGTTCAGCCCTGAGGAGGGGACAGGTGAGCCGAGGTCCAGAGGGTGATAGTCTATTAGTTGAAGAAGGGAGGGTGTTCCAGGCAGAGGAAACAGCTCATGCAAAGGCCCAGTGGCAGAAGAGCACATGGCAAATATTAGGGAGGGCAAGAAAGAGAGTGTAGCTGGCATGTGGCCAGTGACAAGTGTGCTGGTGAGAGAGGATGGGCGACAGTGGGGACAGCTTGGGGGGCTGTCCAGGGCATTTCGCTTCTGTTGTAATACACACCGGGAAGCCATCGGAGAGTTTAAATCAAAAGGAATATGATAAAAAAAGAATTGGAAACGTGTTCTTAACTCCTTCTCTGCAGTTGGGGATGATTGTTTCCTATTTTTCCACTTTGATAAATGACGCTGTGATGAATGTCTTTGGGCACAAATCCTGGCTTTGATTACCCTCCAGCCAGCAGGGTAAGACACTGTCCGTCTCATCTGATTGGTACAGAAGTTTGGAGAGACAGAAAAATAGCCGGGGGCCAGATTAGGCAATCGGGGCCCTGGGTGGAGTCAAGGAAAGTCTGAGCCAAAGGTATGGAGAGTTGGCAGAACCAGGGCCTTGGCAGAGTCAGGCAATAAGGCTGGGAGGGTAAGGAAGCTGTGTTGTATGGCCCCTGGGCAGACTTCTGCAGGCAGGCTTGTCCAGAACAGTCCCATTGGAGGCCCAGACTTCCTTTCCAGTGTGACAAATCCTCCTTTACTCATGACATTCCTGAACAATGGGAAGAGGCCAGAGAGAGAAAACACAGGGGAAAGGATGTTCTGGGGGAACAGAACAAGTGATGCAAAGGCCCTGAGGCAGGAATGGACCTGGTTTGTGAGAGAAGGAAGGAAGACAAGTCTGGGTGGAGAGGAGTGTGAAATGAGGTTGGGGAGGGTGGCGGAGGCAGATCGTGAAGGGCAGGGGTTTGGGTTGGTTTTCGGGGTGACCAGGGCTGTTGGAGGGTGTTAGCAGAGGAATGGTTGGACACTCACGTCCCTCAGCTCACTGTGTGGAGAACGGGTTGTGGGGGTGAGGAGCCCAGTGAGGAGGCGTGTGGCCACCCAGGTCGGGAGGCCTGCACTCGCTGCCAGGGCTAGGGGAGGTCAGAAGGCCGACCACCAGGAGTGGGCCATCAGGGAAGGCTTCCCAGAGGAAGCGGGAATGAGCTCAGCCTTCAGGATGGAGGGAATGTGAGTGTGGAGAGGAGGAGGGCCTGCTGGCAGTGGAGGAAGGGCATGGGCAAGGGCACGAAGGGGGGCTGAGCTGGGTCCAGTGGGGGTTGTGTGGAGACTCCCCGGGAGAAGGTCACCAGCCTGACCCGACCCTCTTGTGTCCTGGAGAGAGCCCCGTCACACCTTCTGGGTTTTGTCCTCATTGCTCCCTCCCCGATCAAGAGGGGCCTGAATTCTGGCTCTGATCCCGCCCTTAATGCCCCTTCTAACTAACTGCCCCTGCTGTGGGACGCTGGAAGAGGGACTTAATCTCTCTGAGCCACAAATGGGATCCGGAGAGTTAATGAGCGCCAAGTGCCTGCAGTCCAAAACTCAAGAAGGACTCCTTTCTTTTCCTTTCCCCATCCCTCCATAGTGCCATTACGGAAAGTTTTGCGAGTGATAAAAGCAGCAGCCACCACCCTTCTGCTTAACCTAATCACAGCCGCCACTGTGACAGAGCTCCTTCCGGGCTTTTCTCCTATGGCACATGACCGTTGGAAGCGGTTCAGTCGTGGGCCGTGCCCAAGTCTGCCACTCACCGCGGCGCGTCTTACTGCCTTCCGTGGGAAGTGTCCCCCCCCCACCTGAACTGCTGCAGTGTCTTCGCTGGTGTCTGTGTGGCCTGCTGCTTGCTTCCCCTCAGGGTGGGGGCTGCGGGGTCTGACTCTGCCTGGGGCCCCCCCGAACCCCCCCCACCCTGCAGGACTGTTCCAGAGAGAGGAGGTGCCACGCCGTGAATGCCCGATTGATGACAGAGCCACACCCCCGCGCCCGCCGGGGCATCTGGGCTTGGCGTCCCCCTCCCTCTGCCTCTGGCAGATCCCAGCAAGGCTTCCAGGCGGCGGGGAGGGAGCAGAGAGCCCAGAGCAACTGGCCTGGCGAGAGGAGGAAGATTTCTGAGGCCCACAGCGGCAGCTTTTGTCCCAACTCTGCTCCGGGTCTCAGAACCAGAGTCTCTGGAGAGGAGGAGGGGCAGGTGGAAAGACCAGAGGAGGACAGGGTCACCCCCCCCCGCCCCCCGCTGGCTCCTTGGGCTCCCTCACCCACCCCAAGGCTCTGGCCATCTGCTGTCCGAGGTGCAGGACGTGCCCACCCCTGTAGGAGGCCGGGACCCTGTGTGAGGGGCACTGGGGCCCCAGAGGTGGGTCTGGTGGAGACTGGAGCCTGGGAGTGATGGTAGGGGGGCGGCAGCAGCAATAAGTGGACTCTGCTCTGGGAATCGGGGCAGTGGCTGTCTCCCAAAGTGTGAGCTCAGCCTCCGGGCTGAGGGTCTGGCCCAGAGCCGGGCCTGGCCCGGTGCCCCTGCCCCCAGCCCTGTGGAGACGGAGGGGGGCTGCATCAGTCCCCAGAGCTGGGACATACAGGAAGCGGCAGGAACAAGGGGCCGTTGGAGGGGGACTGTTGTCCTGGGAGGCGGCCCAGAGGTGGTCAGAGTGGCAGGTGCGCAGGAGGGCCGTCTGGGACCCACCAGTGCGCAGAGGCTCATGAGGTCGGGGGCAGCCCCGCCGGGCAGGATGGAGCCCCCCTGGAGACTGCTTCAGGTCAGGCTGTCACGGAGGCTCTTGCTCAGGAGGTGACACTGGTACAAAGATCTGAGTGACAAGCAGCAAGCAGCCCAGCCGAGCTGGGAAGAGCACCCAGGCAGAGGGACTAGCGGCTGCAAAGGCCCTGAGTCTTGAGGTGTCTGCGGGTCAGAGCATGGCTCCAGTGGGCAAGGGGGGAGTGTCGGGAACAGGTCCAGGGCAGGCGCCGGGGCCCCAGTGGGGAGCTGGGAGCTGGCACGGGGGTCCGCCTGGGGTTTGGAATCCATCCTGGGCCTGAGGGAGGAGAAGGGGGTCCAGGCTTCCAGGCCGGCGGAGGGTCCACCACTGCCCCGCGATGGTGGGCAAGAGGGGATGGCAGCAGGCTGTGAACAGGAGCCCTCAGCCCTCCCGCGGGGTCTGCTTCTGGGCCTCAGGTGGAGGCAGGCAGGCCAGGTGGTGGGGGTCCCTCCCGGCCCCAACAAGAATGGGTGACCTGGGGAGTGACATGGGGAGGACTCAGGGCTGCCGGGCAAGGGACAGACACAGGCCACTGCCGCGCTCCCCCAGGGCAGGCAGGTCCTCAAGGGGCCCCTCCCCTCCCCCCGGCGCTGTGGTCCGGCCCCAGAGGTGTCCCATTTACGAGGGACAGTGTTTGACCCTCTCTGCTTCACCAAGGCGTCTTACCATGCTGCTTCTCTTGAACCACCCAGGGAGAGAACTGTTCTTTCCATTTTCAAGCTGATGAAACTGAGGCTCAAGCTGTCATCTGAGTTGCCCAGAACAATAGGGCCAGAGAGTGGCGGGGCTGGAGTGGAGGCTCAGGTGGGCTGGGTCTGAAGCTGCCTTAGGCCACTGGCACTTACCACCCTGCGCAGGGGTGGGGTGGCTGGGACCCCCGGTTCAGTCCTGTCCTGGGCAGGTGGCAGGTGGGAGGAGTGATCGGTTCTCATTAGGCTGGGCACAACTGTCCCCCAAATTGCCTATGGCCTTTCCTCATGCTGGGGACCCAGGACATGGAGGTCAAGGATGGGTATGCACGGGAGTTCCCCCTTCAGGCAGGGAGGAGGCCACTCGGGGCAGGGTCCACTGCCTGTGTCGTGATCCCCCCAGAGGGCCTACACAGGGCTGGTCCCAGAGCTTTTCCGTTCTGGCTTACAGAACTGGGACCCAGATGCCCCCCGGTACCCGGTGGGCGCTCCAGACCCGGGAACCAGCCCGATGTGCCCCAGCTGGGACCCATAGGGCTGGAGCTGGCCTCTAGTCTTAGACACGGGCCCTATCCTACTCCACCCCCTGGAGGGTGATGTCTTT